ACGCAGCAGCCGAAGCAGGTGTTACAAGTGAGGTCATAGAGCACACGTGTTGGGCTCTGGCAAAACACGTTCTTTTAGCTAAAGCATTTTTTTTAGATGGTCTCCACCGAAAAACAAAGAAATCCGCGGCCGCGTCCGCCGCCGCCCGGGGCGAGGGTGCGCGAGGGTGCGCGCGTGCGTGCGCGAGGGTGCGCGATATTGCGCGACATATTGCGCGATATTGCGCGATATTGCGCGATATTGCGCGATATTGCGCGATATTAGGCGATATTGCGCAATATTAGGCGATATTAGGCGATATTAGGCGATCATTCACGATACACCGAAAATTCCCGCTAGACTAGGGGTGGCGCACGGGCCGCGCCCACGCCCTTCCCCAGTCACATCCTGTGCGCCGTCAGATTCGAGAGTGGCGAGAGGCGCATCCAGGGCGGTAGAGAGCGAATCCCGCGCAGTTTTTCTTTTTTAAATAGGTGAATGCAGTGCGCGATGTCCCCCAGTGTTGTGCGAATTTTCCTATTTTTTGAGACGCAGACGGACTCCATGTGATCCATGAAGTGTCCATGAACGGCCGAGCACAACACTTTGCTTGTCTACTCGAGCTGGAGCCGAGCAGGAGGGCCCAGCGCACAACCCCACTGCAACTCAGGGTCCACACCCCGTGGAGGGGGGCCGGGAGGCGGTACGTACATCGCCCGGCGCTGCTTGCAGCTCACATGCAGCTCCGGCCTCCGCGGCGATCATGCATGGGCTGGACCCGCGCGATCATAAATCTCCACCGTTCCAGATTCACCTACGTTCGCAGGTGGCGAATAGGCACATGAGCAACGCGGATACAGAGCTTGCACCCTTTCGCCCTTCTCATCACTGCCCCAGCGCCCACGTCTCGATCTTCTTCGGCAGCAGCTGGTTCGACAGGTCCTCTCCGTGGCCTAGGCCGGCGTCTTGGCCCTCGCCCCAGGTAAAGACGGCGCTGTCAGCGGTGATAGCGATGCTGTGGTAGCCTCCCGCCGACACAGTAACGACGCGCTGGCCAGCAAAGGCCTCGACCTTCTTCGGCAGGAGCTGGTCCTGCTCGTCGCCGTGGCCTAGCTGGCCCTGGGCTCCACAGCCCCAGCTCCAAAGGGCGCCGTCGGCGGTGATGGCGAAGCTATGCGCCCCTCCAGCCGCGACGGCGACGACGCGCTGGCCAGCCAAGGCCTCGACCTTCTTGGGCAGCTGCTGGTTCTGCTGGTCGCCGTGGCCCAGCTTGCCGTAAAATCCATAGCCCCAGCTCCAGACGGCTCCGTCGGCGGTGAGGGCGAGGCTGTGCGCTCCTCCAGCCGACACGGCGAGGACGCGCTGCCCAGCCAACGCCAGCGAAGGCCTCGACCTTCTTGGGCAGCAGCTCTTCCTGCCAGTCGCCGTGGCCCAGCGTGCCGAAGGCTCCACCGCCCCAGCTCCAGACACTGCCGTCGGCGGTGAGAGCGAGGCTGTGCGTTTCTGCAGCCGACACAGCGAGGACACGCTGGCCATAAAAAGCCTCGATCTTCTTCGGCTGCCACTGGCCCTGATGAAAGTCGCCGTGGCCCAACCGGCCGTCGCCTCCACGGCCCCAGCTCCAGACGTCGCCGCCGGCGGTGAGGGCGAGGCTGTGGTACTCTCCAGCCGACACGCTCATGGCGCGCTCGCCGCCCAGCGTCGACGGGAGCCGGGTCGGCGCGTTGAGCCGCGTCACGCCCTCGCCGTGGCCGAGAAGTGAACGCTCCTCGTCGTCCTCCTCCTCGTCCTCCTCGCCCTCCGCTGCCGAACCGCACGAAGAGAGCCGCCCCTCGCCGTCGATGAAGAGGCTGTGCCAAGAGCCTGCGGCCGCCCTTGCCGGCGGGTTGTGCTCGCGCAGCAGCACAGCGAAGCACAGCCACCGCACGGCACAGCCCTCATCCTCTGGCACCGCCGGCAGCTCGTAGCCGCGCTCTTGCGCCCGCAAGCGGATGCCCTCCAGCGCCAGCGAGGCGTGGAAGAGCATCGAGATGGCCGCGACGCGAGCGATGTCGGCGGGGTCGCAGTGAGAGAGGGCGCGCTCGACGAGCTCCCTGGGGAGGTCGAGCAGGCGGGCGGGCGGCGGCGTGCTCGGCGAGGACGCGGCGGTGGCGGCGGTGGCGAGACGGCGCGAGCGGCGGCGCGGCGGGGTGGACATCGCGAGAAAAAGAAAAACGCCGCTAGTGGGCGTTAAAATTCTTTTCCCTCTCTTTGTGCACGCCCGCCGACGGCTCGGGCCATAACAGGGCACAGTGCATGCCCCCTATCTGGGTCTCAGCTCCCGATATCATGACGACGGAGGAGCTCCCAGAAGTCGTAGGCTCGAAAGCTCAGGTGCTCGCTGTCTGCCTGCTGCAGGAGCACCTTGCTCGCTGGCGGGCCAGGCGTCAACCGCTGCCACCGTCACCACGAAATCGACTCACGCCTCCTACCCCTCCTCAGCCACGTCCGCCGCCCCCGCCGCCCCCGCCGCGGGCAAACGGGGAGGCGAGCGAGGCGAGCGAGGCGAGCGAGGCGAGCGAGGCTCAGACATGCCACCACCTCGTGTGTGTGTGGAGAAGTGGCCTGTCCTGACCTCACCTCACAAGGCGGCCGCCCCGTCACGCTGGTCGGCTTCTCGCTCGGGGCATACGTGGTGTGGGAGTGCTTGCACGAGATGTGCCGCGCGTCCGAGGCGGGGGAGGCGCGCGCCGCCGGCATCGTCCAGCACGCGGTTCTGCTCAGCTTGCCCGCCTCCTCCGACCCGGCACGGTGGCGGCGGCTGCGCCGCGTCGTCGCGGGCCGGCTGGTCAACTGCTACCGGCCGGATAACCTCGTCCTCTCCCTCGCCCACCGCGCCGCGCAGCTCAAGGCGTTTGGCGTCGCCGGCCTTGGCCCGGTCCCGGCGGGCGCGGGCGTCGAGTCGTACAACGTGTCGCGGCTCGTGCGCCCAGAAGCGGAGTACGTATTCATGTATCCCAACCAGCGCCCGAGAGGACACGCATTCAGCCGTATTCGGCCGTATTCCGCTGTATTCACTGTACTCTTCTCCGTTGTATTCACGCGGTGCTCTGAACACACAGCACAAAACCGTCTTCCCGCCCTGAGGTTGGCGTTCAGCACGTAGGATCGTGCGCGCGCACCACCGCTACCGCTTCACCGTTGGGCCTGTGCTGCGGCACGTGGGGCTCGCGGAGGACTGACGGGGTGACGGCGCGTGCCGCTTCGGTGGCGGGCGTTTGAGGGTGGAGCGGCGCGGAGAGGAGGGGCGCGCGTGCTGCATTCCCCGACACCTGTCCGTGTGAGACACCTTCATTTCGGTTACTTTTTGCGCAGGAGACCTGCTCAAAGGGGCGGCTCCCGCGCGCGGTGTATCTGTGTACCTGTCTGTACCTGTGTTAGCTGTTAGTGTGCCCCTGTGGCCTGTGCGCGCAAGTCCCGTGCCCAGAAGACATAAAAAACAGACAGTGGAAAATGGTTAAGATTCCTACAGCTACACCTAGTGCCAGTCCATCCCGTGCCTAGTGCGTGTATGTGTATGTAGAAGGTGAAGAACTCAACGACTAGTGTGCGCAAGGCGGCAAGCCTGCACGCTGCAGCTGCAGAGCCAGGAGCTGAGGCGCGCTCGTCAGAAGTCGTCGCCGTAAAGGATGGCGAGGACATCGCCGGCGTCGTCGTCCCATGGCTTTACGCCCTGGCACATGAGCTCGTACTCAGCATCCGAGCCGTAGCCAAAGCCGCCCCCACCGCCGTAGTCGTCGTCGTAGCAGCCGCCGTTGTCGAGCTCGTCACTGTCGACATCTGAAGAAATGCAGCACTTGTGGCGGATGCATTTGGAGCATGCCAGCGCACCCATGCCACGGTGGTTAAACAAATTTCCACCTCCGCAGCCGCCGCACCAGCCACATGATTTGCCTTTGCGGCACCACTTGCACTGGCAGCGCTGCGGCACCGCCTTCTTCGCAGCTGCGGGCTTCGCCGCTGTGAGCTTGAACTTGTCAATCAGCGCCTTGAGCTCGTCACCCGGCTGTGGCAGAGCATGCACATGTCCATGTTGAGCCCGTGGCGCAGTGCGCGCAGGCAGTGGCTCAGCGTCCCAGTCGGTCGTCCATAAGGTTGCTTTGCGCTCGATGATGATGGTGCGCAGGCTTTGCGAGACGCACGCGCGCTCCGTGTCCGTCCGACACGACCCGAACGCGCGCTCTACCCACTTACGTAGGGCTGGCGGCCAGAGCTCAGCGCTCTCATCAGCGCGGGCAGCAGCTGACATGTGTGCCGGCCGTCGTCCCGCCTAAACAAAACCGCGCCGGCAATTTTCTTTTTTGTGCGGGTTGGTGTCCAGTCCGAGCCTGGCTGTTCTTCACCTTTCTACCTACCTACCTACCTTTGTGTGTGCGAACTACATGATCCGTACATGCACATGTGCATGCATGTGCATCTGCGTTAATTCTTATTGGAGGACGAGCTGCTGTCGGCTGGTTTGGGCGACAGAAGTAGGCCACAGACACATGTCCACAGCGCGGGCGGCGAGGTTCGCCGCCTGGGAGGCGGAGCGGGCGACGTGGAGGCTGGCCAACCGCGGCGACACGCGCTACGCCCTCGAGCGGCGCGTCTTCCGCATGCAGCTGCGCGACATGCGCCGCTCGCTCAAGGAACTATTAACAGAACAACAAATATTTTTCTTTTCAGCTGGCCTTCGTTATAAATAAATAAATAGAGCAGTCATCTCCAGGGAGAGATGGGCGACGCACACGATCACAGAGGGACAGTGCGCACCCCGCCCCGCTCGCAGGGCGTGCATTCGTTGTTAATAGGAAACAAAACGGTCGGAATTCTTTTTGTCCACTGTGTCAGGCTCGCCATCGAAGTTGAGCACTCCAGAGCTCATGAACCCCTTCACGGACGACGTGCCAGACGACGCTCTTGTGCCAGCCTTCACGGGCGGGAATCCCTTCTCCTTCTCCTCCGAGGAAGGCTCGCCGCGCCGCCAATCCCCAG